TCTTAAATTGTTTTAAATCCAAAGTCTCATATGAATAGACCACGATTTCCCACCCATTTCGGGTGCTCCCCATTAAAATCCAATAAAACTGCAATTAATGGATAAAACTCTCCCAAAAATGAATTATTTTCCAGCAATTTGGAAGTTTAAACCTTAATCGTGGCTAAAATCATGACAAATTGCAAATACCCTTGGCATTTTTAGCTGAAGCTCAACCGATGACGTCGCTGGAGCCTCAAAGCTGGAGAAGACCTGCCCGGCCACGTCCTAAGTGACCCAAAAGGACACGCAGCGAACCCTTGACGCGGGGGGAGGAGCCTGAATCCCAGTCTGGGGCCCAGTCTGGGCACAGCTTGAAGTGAAACAAATTAAGGGCAATTAGGAGCAGCATTACAGGCACAAAGGTCAGGCCCTGGTTTTCAGGTGATTTTTCAAATTATGAAAACAAATTCCTGGCCGCAGACAAGTCAAAGTCATCTTGAGCTGATTTTTGCTCTGTGCTCTGTGCTCTGTGTTGTGTGCGATTTTTTAATTGCACACTTAAGATTTTACACTGTAAAAAGTACAGTTTCGCCCGCGAGGCGGAAGTGGTTCGAGCCAAAGATTGTCGGCAGGGCCCGCAGACAAGTGCAGAAAGCGTAAAGCAAACAGCGTTTTTGGCCAATTACCTGCGGCTAATTGTTGCGTACAGAGAGTGCCCCCTCCCCCCCCTGTACCCCTCCCATACGATAAATGTGAAAGTCAACAAATTGTAACTGCAAGAAGGCGAAACGCGGCGAGCGTGGGGGCGAAAGAAAATATCATAAATTACAGAAAGAAACAAAAAAAGAAACCAAACAGTAATGGTCGATCATATGCCACCGATCAGCGTTTTTCTGGACAACTTCCGCTGCCAAAAGGTAGGTAGAAATTTGCATAGTGGCCGAGTTCTACTTTCGCTGAGCGAGGCAAAAAGATCATCAAAGACGGTCGAGCGTGTCCACACAGAGAGCTGGGGGGATCGGCAAACAGTTGCGGAGGAAGAGCTACAGTGGAGCTACGTTACACCGGACCAGCACTTGGAATATCTCCACTGATTGTCGGGGCTTCAGGCTTCGATGCGCCCCAAGAGTTTTCACTTTTGTGGAGCTTAGAAGAAGACAAAAGAAAACACACACTCATAACTGACCTTAATCAATGTCTATGATATTGGGGGCTCTCTATCTATGTATCTATGTATCTTCAGAGCCGTCTGTGGGTGTGTAACAAGCATATGCAATCGCGTTTCTTTCACTCGAAAGAGGACAGAGAACAAGCAACAAAGGCAACTTTATATTCCACTCGTCTCCCCCCTCTCTTTCCCTCTCGTCTGTAAACAAGTTTTGCTGCGAAAACTTCTCAGGCAATCTAAATCTGGACGAGCGGCAGCTGGAAGAAGCGATGCAATTTCATTCATATGCAACAAGAAGACGGGCAGGGGATGCCACAAGCCGAGGCATAAGATACCCTATTTACAGATACCCTATTTCAGAGATAGGGCTCAAGGCAGCTCAACAAAAGACAATAAGAAGAAGCCTTTGAGTGGAGTCAAAAGCCCAATAATACCCCCTGAAAGAGTACAAATAATAAGCAGAGATGGAAAGGGTAGACGTGGCGAGGGGCAGGGAAGCATTTTACACAGAGAGCATTTCCTGTCTGGCCAAATGACATGGAGAGAGGTATCATGTGCCGTCCAACGACGACGACCACGACGACGAGTGGCTGTGGATGTGGCTCTGGCTCTGGCTGTGGATCCAAGCCAACTAGCAACTACCTGCCCTCGAGTGGTCCGCAGGTGAAGTAACTTATACGCGTATTTCTTCTTCTTCAACTTCTTGATGATGATGCCCCCAGGTAATTAGTTTAGCGCTCACCTTGCCACCAGACCCCAGGAATCATTAAAAGCCCGCCTGTGTTGTGCCACATCTAAGGAAACTCTTTAAGCAGCGAGGCAACCATATGTGGAGCCGATCTTCAGAGCCATAAAATCATCAAATTGTGAAATTTCTGCACACGATGCAGCGAAATTCATTCACATTTCCAGATTTCCAGATTTCAGATTCCCATTCAGTCCGCTTTGGCTTTGGCTTTGGCTTTGCCTTTGACTTGGGGCTTGGGGCTTGTGTATCTGGGTATCTGTGTATCTGGCGGATGTGACTCATTCGTACTCAAAGCTAAAATTGCGTCGCGGACTGGCATGGATTCTCGCAGGCCGGCTGCAAGCCCAGCAATTCTCGTTCTTCTTTTCCAGCTTTTTGGTGCTTTTATTTTCATTATTTGTTTATTTTTTCGTTGTTTTGTTGTTGCTGCTTCATGCCTGAGTAGGTTGATCGTTGATTGTCTCGGGCTTGCGATGGAGCGCTACAGAGAAGTGGAGAGACCCAAAGAGTTGTGGGATTGTAGAACGAAGAATGGCTGGCGAATGACTCTATTGCGAATGAGATACGAAATATTTCCAAAGCAAAGACAATGTAAATATACAATATAAACATTTTACTTTTAAATATTTGGGCATTAATGCCCAAATATCTCTCTACTATTATTATTTTTTAGATATAAGATAAAATATTTAATCAATTTGGATAAGCTTTTAATTTCTATTTAAATTTTAAATAATAAGTAATAAGTCGATTAATTAACAAATAAAAGAAAATATTTTGAAACGCAATATAAAAAAATTTAAACACAATATAAATACTTTTGTTATTATGTTTTTAAATACATAATTACAATATAAAATTGTATATTTAAATAGGACATTAGGACAAAGGAAATATAAATATCTCTATATTATATTAAACATATTTTTTATATATAAGATAAAATATTTAATCAATTTAAATAAAACTTTAATTTAAATTTACGTTTTGAATAAAAAGAAATAAATATAAAATTTAATATATTAAAGAAAATATTTTTTAACGCAATATAAAGATATTTTTAGCTTCAGGCCTCAGTAGTTATAGTACAATAATTTATTAATACCTAGTTTTAATTATTTATTAGCTTTATATAATAATTATAATAATAAATAATTATTATTAAGTATTTAAATACATAATTACAATATTTTATATTTAAATAGTTGGGCATTAATAACCAAGGCAATACAAATAAATCTCTATTATAAAAGATTTTTTTTTCTTTTTTTATATATAATTAGGATTGTATTTTTGATTATAATATAAGATCACTACAATATCACATTGATACAAACTATTTTCTTTGCAGTTACCGTTAAAAGTCAAAAGAAAAATTACAATGATTTAAAATAGAAAAAAATAAAAGATAAAAATGCAAGGTTGATGAATTTGGATGGGGATATTATTTGGTTCAATTATCTGTCCAGTTATTATAAAAGATATTTTTCTATAAATCATGTATATAATATATAATTTGTGTAAAATAAAATATATAATAAATTTATATACAAATTGCATATAATTAAAAACATAATTTAAATTAAATAGACTAAAAATAATAAGTAATAAATCAAAGAAAATATTTGACTTAAATCTAGGAATTGCAAATATATATTTTTTGGAAATTTCTGTATTTTTCTGTTAATTCCAATCAATTTTAATTATTAGAAAAATGCTAAACACGAAATTGAAGATATATTTTGGTATTCCGAAGGTTTTCGCCCATCAAATAGAAATTTTCCACATTCGAAGTAAATTGAGACAATCTACCATGCCCTGGCCAAAGGCCCAGGAAATTATGCAGAGATTGCCTTACAGCGCATCCTTGTACCAAAATAGAACTCTTTCGAGGCATTCGTACTGGTGCGCACCCAATTAGGCTAATTAGAATGATGTCAGGGGATCTGCCCACGCATAAACCCACGATAAAGGGTTTATTTATATCAGCGAAAAGATTTATTTGTACAATTTTCGGCTTTGCCAGGCACACATGCAGGAAACCCAATCCTTGTTCTGATTCCGGCCACATGTTGCAGGCAGTAATGTTGCCAGGCCGCCGAAACGGTTAAAGCAACAAATCTGTGAACGAAGCGCAGCGCTCTCTCAAGCGCTCTCTCCCCGAAGCCTGCCCTTCAGCAGCACAACCAACCCCCCGCTTTTGTCCTACGCTTCCGTCCGAACCCAAGCCGCCCGACGCAGAGTCTTCGGCTTGGCCGAACGGCCATGCCTGAAACGACGACGCGAGTTTCAGCGAGCCCCAGAGCCACCAGGCAGTGCTCAGTTCAAGTCGACGAACGCTGCCGAGCGGTTGGGTTGTTGCGCCGCGTGCCTCGCTGAAAGCCGAATTGCCGTTACACGCTGATGTGTGCCATCGCCACGATGATGATGATGAAGCAGCCAATAATGAAGTTAATAATTGTGCAGTGAAAACGGTTTAAAGAGAGTGCCCGCGAGAGAGTGTGTGTGTGTGCAAATCAATGCTGGGAAAACTCATCACGCGACCCTCGCAACCACCCGCCCCTCACCACCCCGCCACCGCCTGCCGTGTGTAATGTCCACGCGATTAGCGGGGACTCGTGTGTAAATTTGAATTTGGACCGAGGTTCGTCGTAACGGGACCACGACTACTGTTCGGTGCGGTCGTAACGCGACTCCGAATTAAAGCTTTGCCTTTGCGTGGCAAAAAACGCTAACCCAAGCAGAAAGCAGAAAGCAGCAGCAAAAAAAAAAGGAAATAAAAGAAATACAAATTTTGTGGGAAAAAAAATCCTCAAGGAAAAAAAGCAGAGAGGGAGTGCGCAAAAGTTGCGTAGGAGAAATAAGAAATTCAGTGGCAAAAAAAATACAACAAAAAATACGATTATCATCCGCAACCGCAAGAGGAGTGTTTTGTTGTGTGTGTGAGTGCTGGTGTGTTGGTGTGTGTTTTTTTGGGGGTCCAGGGCCGGCGGCCGCTAATTACGGAAAAACATGAAAATCTACGCAAAAACTAAAACACAGGCCCGTCCATGGGTAATTAATCAATTTTCCGCTTGACCAATAAGGAAGAAAATATATCCATAACATAATTAAAGAATAAAACTTAAAAAAAAAAAAAAAAACTGAAGAAAAGCAGACATATCCAGTGAAAAGAACACCCCCCTCCCCCCACCCGAATGATATCAGAGCTGTTTGTAGACTGGGCCTGTGCCTAGAAAAGCTCCAAAGACGAACCAAAGACTTAAACGATCACACAAGAGAAGCCCGTACAATGCTTATCCGGGGATTGCTGATGCTAGTGCTGCCCTCGATCATCCTAGGCAATCGCTACAATCAGCTGCACTTGTACGCCAATGGGGCAGGCGGAGGAGGAGCCCCATCGGCCACGGGGACTGGCACCTACAGGACCTCCACGTCGGCGCAGCAGAACGAGGTCTACTCGGTGGCGGACAGCCAGCCGATGACAGAGGATGGCTATATGCCAACGAATCAGCATTTCCCGCACCAACCGCACCCGGATCTCGATGCGAATCCCGCCCAGAGCACCTGCCAGACGGTGTGCGCCTGCAAGTGGAAGGGCGGCAAGCAGACCGTGGAGTGCATCGATAGACACCTCATCCAGATACCCGAGCACATCGACACGAACACCCAGGTGCTGGACATGTCCGGCAACAAGCTGCAGACGCTCTCCAACGAGCAGTTCGTGCGGGCCAACCTCCTCAATCTGCAGAAGCTGTATCTGCGCAACTGCAAGATCGGGGAGATCGAGCGGGAGACCTTCAAGGGGCTGACCAACCTGGTGGAGCTCGACCTGTCGCACAATCTGCTGGTGACGGTGCCCAGCCTGGCCCTGGGGTACATCCCCTCGCTGCGGGAGCTGACGCTGGCCTCCAACCACATCCACAAGATCGAGGGCCAGGCCTTCGGGAACACGCCGTCGCTGCACAAGCTGGATCTCTCCCACTGCGACATACAGACGATCTCCGCGCAGGCCTTCGGCGGCCTCCAGGGCCTCACCCTGCTCCGGCTGAACGGCAACAAGCTGAGCGAGCTGCTGCCCAAGACCATCGAGACGCTGAGCCGCCTGCACGGCATCGAGCTGCACGACAATCCGTGGCTCTGCGACTGCCGACTGCGGGACACCAAGCTCTGGCTGATGCAGCGCAACATCCCGTATCCGGTGGCGCCGGTGTGCTCCGGCGGACCCGAGCGGATCATCGATAGGAGCTTTGCCGACCTACACGTGGACGAGTTCGCCTGCCGCCCGGAGATGCTGCCCATCTCGCACTACGTGGAGGCCTCCATGGGGGACAATGCGTCGATCACGTGCCGGGCCCGGGCCGTGCCGGCGGCCAACATCAACTGGTACTGGAACGGACGCCTGCTGGCCAACAACAGCGCCTTCACCGCCTACCAGCGCATCCACATGTTCGAGCAGCTGGAGGGCGGCGGCGGCTTCGAGAAGCGATCCCGGCTGGTGCTCACCAACGCCCAGGAGACGGACTCCAGCGAGTTCTACTGCGTCGCGGAGAACAGGGCCGGCAGCGCCGAGGCAAACTTCACGCTCCACGTGAGCATGCGGGCCGCCGGCATGGCCTCCCTGGGCAGCGGCCAGATCGTGGGCCTCAGTGCGGCCCTGGTGGCCCTCATTGTGTTCGCTTTGGGCGTGATCATGTGCCTGCTGCTGCGCGTGAAGCGGCAGCCGTACGTCGACAGCAAGACGCCCAACCACATGGAGGTGATCACCTCCGTCAACCACCAGAACTCCATCACGAACAAGACGCAGCCGGTGACCGGGAACGGCAGCATCGGCGGCGTGGTCATAGCCAACGGCGCGGTGGCCAACTGCATCGACGGGGCTCTGAACCAGGCCGGAACGCTGGAGCGGAAGAGCAGCGGCCGGGGCTCGCATGCGGCCGGCGGGCACGAGCGCAGCGCCAATCCCGTCCAGAAGCCGCCGCGACTCACGGATCTGCCCTACTCCACGCAGGGATACGACAATGCCGGCAGCGTCCTCTCCACGGCCTCGTGCTTCATCTCGCCCACGGGCTCTGGGAATGGGGGCAACAATCCCGATCTGATCAACGACACGCAGCGCTTCGGCAGCGACGAGTTTGCCGACCTCAAGATACCCATTGTGGGTGGAGTGGGCGGAGTGGGTGGAGTGGGTGGCAGTGGGGAATACAGTCGGGCCAATGGCTGCGACTCTCTGTACCCCTCTGGCCTGTGGGAGCACGCCGCTCCGGCGGGCACCAGCTCGGCGGACGATCTCTTCATGAAGCGCTACACGGACAAGACGCCCATCATCGACTCCAGCCAGCTGTACGACCTGCACGAGCGCTCGGCGGCCACGGATTACTTCAGCAAGACCTTCCCCCGGTCCCATCTGCAGCAGGGCGCGGGCGGGGGAGGAGCCGGAGCCGTGTCGACCACATCGACGGCCACGACAAACCTTTCGGGTGGCTCCTCGTCCGGCTATCCGAATGACTACGGCCTGCCGCTGGTGCCGGGAGCGGAGCACCAGCACAACCACCAGCTGCAGATGCATCCGCTGCAGCAGCTCCAGCAGCAGTTGACCTCCACCCTGAACCACCAGCACGGAGCGGGCGGAGGTGGGGGCGGTGTTGGGGGCAGCGCCGGCGGCTCGGCGGGCAGCAGTCCCCACTTCAGCAGCCGCACTCTGCCACGCCTGCACGAGGGGGGGGGCAACAGTGCGCGCTCCTCCCCCACCCCGGTGCCCGGCTCCAGTTCCTGCTCAATTCTGCCCAACGGGCAGCCCATCAATGCCAAGACGATACGGGTGTGGCAGAAGGGCGGAGTGCCGGTGCTGCCACCAGTGACGGCGCTGAAGCGAGCCCTCATCAGCAGCAGTCGCAACAGCCCGGACGAGGGCTACCAGGAGGGGTGCGGCACCGATGTTTAGGCCGCCTACCAGCGGCCCCCCCCCTCGAAGGAAGGAAACCAAGAACTGACTAAACTTAACAGAATACCAGATACAGATACACAGATACAGATACAGATACAGATATAGCTCTACATATACTCGTCGTACATCCGATAGATACTTGGCTCTGATCCTAGGCGAGGCGATGAATGAAACGATGTTTGTGATAGTGTCTGAAAACAAAAGATATCAAATGCGAATGAAGATAATAATTGGCGAAAGCAAACGAGAGAAGAGGAGGCAAAAGAGGAGGAGGAGGAAGAGGAGGAGGAGGAGGAGGAGGCACTACGACACTAACTAACGTATACTTTCCTAGGCGAGTAACTAACTAAACTAAACTAACTAACTAACTAATATTGTAACTAAACTTAAGCAACATGTACATACCAGCAGATCCCAACCCCCCCCCCCCCTCGAAAATAAAATTAAACAAAAATCAATTTAAATGTCAAAAATCCGATTTGTAACCCAAAATATATATATATATATAGGTATATGCGTATGTGTATGTGTATATGTCTGTGTGTAAGTTTCCAGCAGGAAACAAAAAATATAGAAGCCACTCCACCCAAAAAAAACAAAAAAAGAGAGAGCGAAACATTTGTAAAATATATCATATTTAAACGTATAAATCATCCACTAAATGTAAATATTAGATATGCCCATAGACAGCAAAAGAAAGCCAATTACTGGATCCAAATATGCTTACAAATCTGTGTACTTCTGTTAGCAAGGATAAGCTTAAGGACGAAAACTAAAGCAGAGCAAAACCGAACCCTAGATCTACCCCAGGGAGAGCAGTAAATCAATGATTGGGAATTTAGGGAAAATGTTTTGGGGAATTTATTTATTTATTGGCTGAAAAAAAAAAAAGAAAATAAAACACAGAAAATTCGTTTCCCCAGGAACTGTCTCAGGAAGTACTCAATCTTCAAACCCTTTTTATTTTATATTTTCAAAAAACTTCAGTGCTTTTCAAAAAATCTTAAAAAAAGGAATTCCTTTTATCAAAGAACAAATCACATATCTGATCCCAAATTTAAACCCAAGCCCATCAAAAAACAGTATCCTTCAAATCACAAAAGAAAATAAAAAAATTTAATTTACCTAAAAAAAAATCAAAGCTTAAAAGACGAAAATTTCACCATCAAAGATCTGAACCCAAATCCAAACACAAAACCCATCAACAATACACCAAAAAAGGCTTACAATTATTAAATTTAAATAAAAAATAACAAAATCACAACTAAAAAAAAATTACAATATTTATTTAAATAAACAATTAAACATTAAATGAAAAAAATCCCATTATTAAAGATCTGATACCAAATTCAATTATAAAGCCCCACAAGGATAAAAATAATGAAACTTAAATAAAAAAAAAATAAAAATTTCAATTACCAAATTTCCCCCATCAAAGATCTGAACAAAATCTTATCTCATCAAAACTTTTTTCTGTAAACAAAAATGGGATTAAAATAATGAAATTTAAATAAATCGAAGATTGAATTACAAAAATGTCTTCATCAAAGATCTGATACCAAATTCAACCCCAAAGCCCATTAACAAGAATTCTGTTAACCCAAAAATGATTAAAATAATAAAATTTAAATTTAAAAAATAATTGATTAAATTTCAGAATTCCCCTTAACAAAGATCTGCTCCCAAATCCAATCCCAAAAAAATAGTTTCTGCAAATTTAACTACAAAATCGAAGATTAAATGAAAAAATTAACCATATCCAAGATCTGAACCAAAATGCATAACAAAATCACATCAAATATATTTTCTGTGAGCTAAAAAAAAATAAAATAATACAAATTTAATGAAAATTAAAAATCAAGAATTAAATGAAAAAATTCCCCTTATAAAGGATCTAAATTTGCGGCTTTTTCTGTAAACCCAAAAAATAAATTTAAATTAAAAGTCCAAAAAATCCAAGAATAAATTAAAAAATTCCCCTTATCCATAATCTGATCTCAAAGCCAACCCTTAAGGTTCTAAAAAAAAAATAGTTTCTGTAAATTTAAATTAAAAATCAAAGATTAATTGAAAAAACTCACCTTAACAAAGATCTGAACCCAAAGTCCATCCAAAAACAGTTTCTGTAAATCACAATAAAAATTAAAATTAAAAATCAAAAAACCCAAGTTTAAAAAATAAAAAAGTCTACGATTTCTTACCAGCCAAAAACCAAATACTCCCCAATCCAATGGGAAAGCCTTTCCCCCCAAAAAATCTTGCTGCAAATCTTTTTGGAAAATCCCGAAAATTTGTGTGAAGCCCTTGCTCCGACACTGGCTGACAGCTTGACAGGATTCCAATTTGCTCGACCCGAGGACTAAATGAAAATTTGAATGTGCCCAGAAGAAAAGCTTGACCCATTTTCCACCCCCCCCAGCCCCCCAGTCCCAGCCCGTAATCAAATTAGGACGATTTAAACAGTAATTGCAAAGAGAAATTCCAGCCGACAAAAAGTTGATTTACTGCTGTCCCAGCAACAAGAAAAAAGCAAAGAAAAAAAAAGAAAAATCTAAAAATAATACAAAACAGAATTTTTGTGTAAATTTCAATGTAAGCTTAGAACAATTGCAAAATCGAATCAGAAAAAGAAAACAAAACAAAACAAAAAGGAAATGAAAGAGGGAGACAGAGAGAGAGAAATGGTGGAGAGAGTATTCATTCATTCATCGACAGATTCATACGTAAATAAGCATATGCAAATTGTACTCAAAGTGCAGGTGACACATATCACAGATACAGATACAGATACAGATACACACGCAGACATACAGACAGACATGCAGCAGTTTAAAGCGTATCCGAAAGATACATATATACATTAATTGCCCCCCAAACTCAAAAAAAAGAAATGATATTTTTAAGGTAAACCAAAGACTTTTTTCTTTGCATCTAAAATAAGGCAGGGAGTCTTCAAAGGACTCTCCACACACAGATACACACACACACACATAATCTCTTGAAGGAGAGGCAAAAGAAAAAGCAAGGAAAAGCCCATAGCATTTAAGTTGAACTTATGTATTATGTATTGTATAATATATACCTACATATAGTACATATACATACATATATATATATAGTCTATAGATGTGTACACTTATCAACCGAATGAGCAAGCGAGAAGGCAGCAGAACGGCAGAGCGAGAGAGAGAGAGATAGAGCCCGCAGACAAAAGGCGAGCATTGAATGAACAACAAAGCAAAAAGGAAATATATAAAACATTATATATATCTATATATAAACGAAAAAAAAAAAAAAACAAAAAAAAAACATAAACCATTGTCATTACTTGGAGCCCCTAATGGTTGCCTCTTGCCCACAGATAGGTATGCCCCAGCACCGCCCCGCCCCCCCAGAAGGTAGGTAACATTCCAAAGGGGGGCCTGCCGGGGCCTGACCCAATTAGTTGGCCATTCGAATGCTGTCCAAAGCCAGTGCTGAGGCCAAAAGCTGCTGCGCTTCTCTTGTTATTCGCCTGCAATGCTTTGGCATATTAGGGCCAATCGTCTAATCGCCAATTATGCATTTGAACCCCGACCCCCCGAGCCCCCGAACCCCACCCCCCACTGCAAAACACATTGAAACGGAGGTAGCCACACCACACACGGCCAAACACACAAACTGTGGCCTAAACCCGCGAATCGATACTGGTAATCGCCGGAGGGACGGAGCTGCTCTTCAACACGAACCGGAAATACCCTAAAAGCGTTTAAAGTTACATTTTTGACCCAAGGAAAGCCATTCTATCATCGGCGGTGAATCTTTTTTGGTTTTGTATTTTCAGCAGATTTTAAGGGAATTATTTGAAGGGTGTTTTTGAAAGAATTAAACACCCAAGTGGAGAGGGGAACCTCTAACTAACTAACAAGAGAGATCTCCTAGGACTACACGCTCCATGGGACATAATTGGCCATAAAAAAAACAATAATTTTCTGAATTTCATGGATATTTGTACAAATTTTAGAGCACCATTAAATAGTTTTTATATTAAATTGTATTATTATTTGTATAATTTTTTTGTTGTATTCTTTTTTGTACTTTTATTATCGTTATTGTTATTATTATTTATATTATTTTTGTATTATTATTTTGTATTTCTATTATTTTTTAATTCTATTTTGTATTTCTATTATTTTCAAATCTATTATTTTGTATTTCTTTTTACTATTTTTATTAGTATTACTAATTTTTGTATTACTATTATTTTTTATTATTATTCTCACATTTTTATTATTATTACTATTTTAATTACTATTATTTTTATTATTATTATTTTTACTACTTTAATTAGTATTACTATTTTTTATTATTATTATTTGTATTTATATTATTTTTGTCATTTTATTTTATATTTTTTTTTTTTATCATTATGATTTGTATTATTATTTGTATTATTTTTTATTATAATTTTTGTTATTTTTACTGTTATTATTTTCATTATTGTTTTATTATTATTATTTTTAGTATTATAACTTTTAGTATTATTAATTGTATGATAATTTTTATTAATATTTAATTATTATTATTTTCATTATCATATATTGTTTTTTTATCATATATTATTTTTTTATCATATATTATTTTTATTATTATTATTTTCATTTTTATTATTATTATTTTTATTATTATTTCTTTCCGTTATTACTAATTTTTGTATTAGTATTATTATATTTATATTTTTGATATATTATATATTATATTTTGTTACACGTGAGTAATTTTTTTCCAGCTCTTTAATTGCCTGAAAAAACCCCTCTATTTGTATTAAAGATTTTCGCAGGTAACCGCTGGCGCTGGATTTCCATAGCTTTTAAGAGCCCTAAACTTTTCCAAACTGCAGGCTTCGCGGATCCACAAACACGTCGACGAGACTTGCAGGGGCTTCTGCTGTGGCGGAGGCCTCGACTTCGACTTCGCCTGTTACTCTTTTGCTGGAACATATTTCATGGCAAATTGTGGATGCCGATTGGCCAAAAAAACCACTAGGATACCTACTCAATCCCCGTATTTATGTCTGTCTGTCTGTCTCTGTGTCTGTGTGTGGGGTCAAAGTTTTGTTGTGTGTGGCGTCAGGGGGGCGGGGAGTTGTTGGGTGGCGCGTACTAAATACGGCGGGCACAGTACGAGATTATATCATGGCGTGCGGCTATGCCAAAACTGTCTGCTGAACCACTCCCTAGACCCTTGGGCCGCCCCCGCCCCCTCTGCTATCCCCCCCCGCGGATACCCGCA